ATAGCTATCCTTTAAGGGTTTGCTAAAGCTGGTTATATAGGCTGAATTAGCAAAGGTTAGTGAGCTTAACTAAAGTTAACTCTATTATAGAACACCTTATGTTAGATGCAATCCACGAAGTAACCGCTGAGCTATAGCCAGCCCTGAACACGTTACTTTAGAAGGATATAAAGCACCATCAAATCCTCTGCATTTTAGGCAGTTGCTAGTAATGCTCTGACAAATAATTTGTTATACTAATTATACAGGTCCAAGCATAGTGTGGTATCTAACCCCATTTTGACCTTGGCTGTCAGAAATAGTCATTTCCATTCTTTATTTTGGCTACAGATTATTACAACCTAGTTAAAATTTATTTGTATTTTGGGGGAGATCTTTAACACCCTTTATACCATGTTTTTATTAATTTGAATTAATCATATAACTGAGGTAGCTGGCATGAAATTCATCAATCCTTATTAACTAAGTCAAACTTTCCTTTATAGTTTGGTTTTTATCACTGATCTCCTCTGGGGGTTTGGTTAATCATGGTGTTATAAGCTACTTATTAGTCTGCTTATGCTTGTACCTTTTAATCACTTAGGATTTACAGAGGATTCTCACTAAGGTGCAGATACTTTTATGTATGATTTTATTAAAATTTAATAGAAAAACTGGGACCAAACCTTTAATGTTTAGAAGTTAATAAACTCATGTAAGCAGTTTCAGTGACTTGTTTTAATTATTAAGCTGCATGAACAAGTATGTTTTACATACTGTGTCCTCTCTAGGTAATATGTATTATTAGGGTAAACAAAGAAATTTTAGTATGTGTGATCATGACGTGATAGGGGGTTTGGTTTTGATTTAAATAATGAGTGCGCATATAGGAACAAACAAGTTCCCCAAAATGAAAAAGTAATTTGAATGTGAAGAACAAAACAGGTATATCCACTATTCATACTTAAAATTCTTTAAGGGTAACTTGCAGGGTCCTCAATGCTAGAGCCAGGTAGGACTTCAGCATAGGATCTACACCTCACCTACCCACACAAGTTGGTCTTGTATCCCACTGAAGCTTAATATTTAAGGGGAAAAATAATAAGTTACTGATGTAACTAATTGAGAGGACATGTCAGATGTCTTAAGAGTTATTCATTTATGCATACAAGAACTGGCGTACAAGCTAAAAGTGTGGGGAGTAAGAGACTTCACCAGAGACAGAATGGGGAACAGAACAGGCAGATAGACGCTAAAGTAAACTGTTGAGGGGAGCAGTGGGCGAGGCAGAAGAGGTCTGCTGCACCATGTGGATCACCCTTCTGAGTGGGATGGAGCTTATGCTGTAGAGGCTTCAAATAGCGCCACAGTGCTATACTTTAACCCCTTGTTCCACCGGAGAGACCCCTCAAAAGTTTAGTATGGTTCATGAATACAGGTTACTATAGATGTAGAAAACAGCAGAGAATTTGATTATCTTCCCAGAGTGAGATCATTGGCCTAAGATGGCATCATTGCACAATGGAGTCAGTTAGTTTTCCTGTATTTGATTTGTGGAGTTAGAAGAGGGTGGATCTAAGGACTTGGCAGTCTGTATAATAAACTGTATCAATAGAGAGGCATGTTAGCGTGATAATGGTGTAGTACTATTTAAATTAGGGCCTTGTTTAGAGAATTAGGAGTTTGATGAAGCTATAGATTGGTCTTTATGGTTAGGCTTTGTATAAGCTGCTATATTCTTATTTAGGGGCTTGGTAAGGTATTACATATATAAACATGCATACATATACATGCTGCTTGGGGCTTAACAGGGCAAGAGGGATTAATTTTTGTTGATGATCGTGTGTGTGTGTGTAGTAAGCATATTTGTACTTGTGCATAAATTCCTTATGTCCCTGACCACTGACTCAGTAACACCTATGGTTTAGGATGTTAACAATACTGTTTAAGCTCAGATATAAATTGCTTGACTGTGTTTTAAGGCCTATGATGGCCACAACTGGATCACAGCATCTACCACATATAAAAAATACAAAATGTATGCCATCACGTTTTCACAGTGGTAATTTTTATTCTGGAAGTCCTTCTGCTATGAATGTTGAAAATGGGTTGTTTGGATTACTCATAGGAGACAGTACTGGAACAAGGTTTTTCAACTTTGGCATTGTCCACATTTGGAACAGATTATTTTTTGTTGTAGAGGGCTGTCATTTGCAATATAGTCTGCATACTCTACTAACTAAATGTCAGTAACCTTAACTTGATAACTTTAAACATCTCCTGGCATTGTAAAAAAAAAAGCCCCTTGGCATGGGAGAATCACTCCTAATGAAATCAGTGTATTTTTTCCAGTGATACATAAGAAATTGAAGAGAATAAAAACGGTTCCAGAAAATAAGACAGCATAAATGCTGTTTCTGAAGTTAGAAGCAAATGATTCTCAAAGTCTGATGAGAATAGTTTTGATTCTGGTTAAAGTTCTAAAATAAATTGTTGCAGAAGTGAATTATGAACACTTAAAAGAATTTTATTCTATCCTTGATAGGATTCCTAAATGAATACAAGTGATCACCAAAGCAAATGGTCACATTATCTCAGTTGCACATAAAGGGTACTGTACAAGTATAGTAGATAAGGAGTTATAATGTTTTACTATTGTTCTTGTGGATCAAATGGTGAAAGATAAACTTGGCGGTAGTACAGATGGAAATTGGTAGACTGTACCTAAAGAATACTGACCTATATGTAGGTTTATGGCTCTCTATGTGGGATTTTAGTGTCAGATATCTGTGATTGTCCCTGATCAGTATTTATCAGTGACAAAGTTAGGAATATTCATTACAGACCTATGGATTATAATCCAAGATGATTTGAAATGACTGAGAAAGTGGATTGAGTCTCAAAAAAAAAATGAAAGATGGGATAGACACAGCTTTGAAGCAGTTTTGGTAATCCCAGTATAAGTTACAGTGTCACTAAATAACAGATGAGTAGTTTATCCTTCGAGGTATACTGTTTTGAGAAAAAATGCCCACAGAGGGGATACTGTATTTAATTCTGGATGTAAGTTTGTTAAAAGGAGACTATCTATGATGACTCAGAACAGAGGAAATTTAGGAAAGTCAGATGTTAATCTTAAAAGCTGAATTGTTATCAACAGGTAGGGAGATAAGATTTTTGTGTCCCAGAAAGTAAGTTAGAACCAGGAGTGGAAGGTGGGAGAGAGGTTTCTCATGCTTAACTAAAATCAAAATAGTGAAGTGTTGCTAGTGATTTCCCATTAGTAAATGTTTCTAAGTAGAGGTTTCAGGGCATTTAGCCACTTAATGGAGGTCGGGAAAAGAATCTTAAGCATCATTTCAGTGGTTAGATAGGTCAGTATTTATCAGCAAAACCTTTTCAAATAAAATCTCAAACACAAATGCTAAACTGCTCTTGATCTATAGTGAGCATCTGCCTTCATTCTCCCTTAACAGTGTCAACATAATCTGTTAAAGCCAGAATTTTCTTGCTAGATATACAGAGCAACATAAAAACTAGCTAAGGCTTATAAGGGCTTTTTCAAAGTTGTTTTAAAATATATATAAAAGAGCAAGTGTGTGTGTTAAACTTATTGTTTGGAGTATTTTTATTCCACCACATACTTAAGAAAAAAAAACTGAATTCATTAACTCTGAATTCAGGTATTTTTAAATGTTAATTTATGGGGGTTTATTTTTAATAATTTCCAAATATCAAACTTAAGTAACTGTCATGAATAGCCTAACATTTTCCCTTTATTATTCGCTCTTTATTTATGTATATATATATAAACACAATGTTTTTTCTTGAACACTGAGAATAAGTTGCAAATCTACTAAAAATACTCTTATATAACCAAAGTATAATTCTCAGTTTCAGTGAATTTAACAATAAACCTATGATCCATGTTCCATTTGTCATTTGACTCAACAATGTCCTAATTTATAACAATTTTTAGAGAACTATGTCTTAAGGATAAATTTAAATACTAGAGATATTTGTCGAGGTTGATGTCCAAAGTCGTTTAAATTAAGTGGAAAGAACATCTTTTTATCTTTTCTAGCATAAATTCAGTAAATTACTTAAGTTCATATACTTTGGAAATATTGTCTAAAAAATGATCTTGGTTCTTTTACAGAATTCAGAATGTTTAAGGAAAATAAAATTTAGTTTTTGTTTTTAATGTTAATTACATAGCACTATATGACCACTTGAGTATATTACAGATTTCAACTAGACATATTTATGGGGAAAAAATGGCTGCATTCTACATTTACATGTAATAAGCTATCAGACAGCTATCATAACCTTAACTTGTGCTACACACTAGACCTGAAAAATAACTTTCTACCCTTCTATGTAGTATGTCACTTTCATTTTTCAAATATGGATTAACTAATAATGTTACGATTTCATTTAGCCTTATTTCTCAGTTATCCTGATGGAGATACATGTTTGTATGTTGCTGCAAGTTCATCAACTTTAGTTACATATTTCATACAGTAAATAGATATGTCTTTAAAAGTCTGTAGGACAATCAATAACCCAGTAAAGGATCTATATCTAAGGTATATAAGACTTATATAAACTTATATTAAATATAAATTCAGATAGATGAGCAATAATGTATTGTGCAAAAGGGCCTGAAAAAAAGATGTGCCTTCTCATAGTTGTTGGGACTATAAATAGAAAAGAATGACATTTTATTTAAAGTTAAATTTACAGACATGATTTCTGTTCTGTGTATATTCCAGCAATTCCATACATGAAGCTAGAAAAGTATGTTCATGCATTCTGAAAGACATGCACAAGCACTTGTATAATAACATTAATAGTTTGGAAAGAAGAAACCATCTAAATGTCTCATAGCACTACTGCAGCAGAGTATTATACAGCAATATAAATGATGGTTACTTTAGCATCTGTACAAATTTACAATGATATGGTAAGATTACCTTTTTTAATATCTCTGTCACTAATGCTTTTAAAATTTTAAATAGGATTTATTTAAATCCATCATATCAAGAATGAAGAAGGCAATAGAAGATGATGTTTTTATTCCTCTGTATCCAAAGAGGTAAAAATTAATTTTTATATTGTGGGAATAATCATGTAAAACAGATTTAAGAGTGTAATCCAAAAGAAAATTTTTTTCAAAACATGTACCTATTAAGATTTCAATAACAATTTTTTAGTCATCCTTTCTCTGCCATGCCTGGCACTTGGAAATAAGGGATTTTTTATTATGTCTCACATGGTTTAAAACCACATGTGTACTTTTCTAATTATTTAAAATGAAGTCTTATTCCTGCTCCCGACCTCATCCATGTTTGTACCCTTTTGTCTCTTTCACATACATGTATACAATAGTAGGTTAACTTTTTTTATTTTTCTACAACATCTTCATGCAATTAGGTATATAAATTATAATCTTATTTTCCCCTCCTTTCTATATAGCAAAGGAACTATATTGTAAATAGTTATAACCATTATTTTGTACTTTTTTTTAACTTAATATATCTTTGCGATCTTTTCATGTCATGACTAAAGTAGTGATAGAATATCTTTGTAAACATATTCCATTCATGTGCAAAGGTATCTACAGAAAGGTATTCTTTGAAATGACGTTGGGTCAAAGTATGCATGCATTTGTAATTTTAGATTCTACTGGGGCTTAGTATGGTTTTGAAAGATGAATGGTTGTCTTTACACTTTTTCCTTTCCTTTCTCTTTTATCTCCTATCAGTACTATAGAAGACAAAACATCTCCACACTCAAAGTTCCAAGAAAGACAGTTCTGGTCAGGTTTAAAGGTAAGTGTAAACTGCCAAAATTAAAACACTATAAATTAGAGAGCAGCAAAACTCTGTAAAGGGCCAGACTATAAATAGCTTAGGCTTTCTAGTTCATATAATCTCTATTGAACTATTCAGCTATGCCACTGTAGTATAAAACAGTCATAGATAGCCATGCCCATTTGTTGTCATGTTTCAATAAAACTTTATTTAAAATAATTTTCCCTTACAACAAAATGTTCAGTCATTTAAAATAAAACCATTATTCAGCCCTCCCTGGTGGCACAGCACTAAGAAGCTAAAGCCACTTCTGCACGAGTTCGATTCCCGCCTGCCCCAGAGGTGACCACATGGCTGGCGGCCCTCTCCTGACCCGCCCGCTGCTCCCCTCAGCAGTGTACTTCGTCTGTCTGCCTGTTCTGCTTCCCACTCTGTCGCTGGTGAAGCCTCTCGCCGCCCCTGAGCTTCTGGCCTGTACCCCAGTTCTGTATGCACAAATAAATAAATCTTTAAAAAAAAAAAATTATTCACTAGGTTTTCAGAAAATAGAGTAGCATACTGGAGTTAATCTATAGGACCAGTTCAGTGATTTCTCCCATTGTCTTTTTTTTTTTTTTAAAGATTTGTTTATTCATACAGAACTGGGTTGCAAGGTGGTGAAAGGATCCACCAGACAGAGTGGGGAGCAGAACAGGCAGATCGAGGAAGTATACTATTGAGGGGAGCAATGGGTGGGTCAGGGTCACCTCTGGGGTCTGAAATTGAACTCTCACTGAAGTGGCTGTGGCTAGCTTGCAGTGCTGCTCTTTAACTACTGCATCACCAGGGAGAGGACCCCACACTCCCATTATCTTTTAGGGTTCAAAAGGTATTTAGCATGAAGTATTGAAGGGACTTGATGACTACATGTGAAGAATGTAGGGTGATAGCCAGGTTTCTGACTTTGGCAGCCTGGAAACAGGATAAGATAAGGACATAGTGAATTAAAAGATTCTAGTGGGAGAAAATACAGGACTAGTGGTTTAGTAGGCATTTGAAAATCTGAGCCAGATACGAGTTGTAAATTCAGCAGTGTTAAAGGAGTCCTGAATGACAGCCTCGGAGGAGAATGTGTGAAGCTTAAGATCAGCCTAGAAAAACAACCATGAAGTAGCAAAGTGGAGTCTTCAAAGCTGCCTCAGATAAACTGTGATAGAATATTCACAGTTCAAGTGTCCCAGGATAGGGACACTTGAAGGATAAAATGCCACCAAAGAGAATTAGGAAAAGCTTTCCATGAAGAGGGAGCAATATCAGCAGTGACAAAAGTGTGAAAAAGCATTGCATGTTAGTACAAGTACATGTTGTTGAGCATTTAAGAGAAATACAATGCTGGAAAGGAAGTGGGAAGCAAATTCGCAAAAAAAAAAATAATCAGGATTTAGAAAAGGAATAGTGGCAACAGGGATAAAGTGTGTTTAGAATTCTGAGTATTTTTCCCAACTCACAGATTATTTTATCTATCAGAGCACTGACATGCTCAGGTTCTGATAGACTTCTCAAAATCATGCATTGATACTGGGTTTAACAGCAATGCTTCATGAATCCTGGGGTCTAGGCTCTGGAGAGTATGACTGAGGATGATGATTGACCTAAAAAGCCCTAATGAAGTTACCTGAGATGGATTTTGGGTGGTTACCCTAAAAAAATGAAAATAGGATGAGCAAATACATAGGATATTGAAAATAATTATTTAATCAAAAGTGTTTTCTATACTAAAATCTAGCATTCCAGCATGCTAATTACAGTAAAATTTTAAACTTTGCTGGCATTTTCCTCTGGAAGAAAGGTACATAGTCACTTGATTTATTTTATTTTAGCTCTTCCACAATATTCTTCTTTGGAATGGACTCCTCCCAGATGACACCTTGCAGGACCTTGGGCTAGAGAGGCTGCTGAATCGTTACCTTATTATAGCTCTTCGTAATGCCATACCTGGACCAGATGTTGTTAAAAAGTGCAGCCAAGTAAGTTATGTTTAGTGAACTGATTGATTTTTAATTTACCTATTAAAATCGGTTTTGTGGCCCTCCCTGGTGGCGCAGCGGGTTAAAGCACCGCACTGAGAATCTAAAAGCCACTTCCTCATGAGTTCGATTCCCGCCTGCCCCGGAGGTGACCACATGGCGTGGCAGACCTCTCCTGACC